ACAATCTTGTTTGTTTAATACAATAATCAGCAGACAAGGGTCTGTTTCATAAGGCCAAGTTCATGCTCAGTTTCAATTACCTGAGTCTCATCAGCAAAGTGTGGCCTGTTGCACCAACTGCTGGGTTGCCTGCTGTTAGTTGGATTGGTAACTGCCTGTAAATACCTTGGGCTACGAGATTGCGAAGAAATTACAGTGCAAACATGTATTTTAGAATCCATCTGTGTGGAGCTTTTAGTGGATTTTCTCTGGGTATTGTGTTTTTCTCCCACATACCAAACACTCACAAATGGAATTGGCCAAACATCCCAGTACAGGATCACATATCGAACGATTAAAAGTGAGGATGTATTGGGTAAATAAAGGGCATTGTTAGAACTAAAGTGATTGTTCTATGGAGAGACTGGCACCCGTCATGTTAATGTGGAATCTCCACCATTGGCTCATGGCTGCCAACAGTAATACGCGTTACCCCAATGCGTGTTTGAGCATCGAGGCACCGATTATAACCATGAAAATGGCCATACAAGTCCATAATGGCATCAGATAGTATGTGGTTTCTCGGCATGATGCACTTCTGGGATTTACAAATATACTTTGTGAGTGTATTAGTACAATCTTGTTTGTTTAATATAATAATCAGCAGACAAGGGTCTGTTTCATAAGGCCAAGTTCATGCTCGGTTTCAATTACCTGAGTCTCATCAGCAAAGTGTGGCCTGTTGTACCAACTGCTGGGTTGCCTGCTGTTATCAGCAACAACACTGGCTGAACACAAGGGGAGCAATTTGGATCAGTGATCGTAAATGTGTACAAAATTGATGGACATAGGCCAATAGACTATGAACATTTGTTTTTATTTCCACATGGTGAAATAGAGCCATGTTTTTATTAGTTTAACACCCACATGTCACCACAATGCAACGACGCCAATGTATGTAAACACAAGTAGTCACAAGGAGGGAAGAGTGGTGCAGTGGTTAGCACATTACACTGCGAATCCACGACCCGAGTTTGAATCTTGGTCTTGTCTCCAATCACTGGAGAGTGGTGGTACGTGAACTGGGTTGGGGACCCCTCCCCCGCCTTCACCAACACGCACTGACTAGCGTGGTGAAGTATGGTGAAATCACCCCATGACCGACCAGGCGTGGGGGAGGCCTTTATCCAGCAGTGGGTTGACAAAGAGCTGCATGTATTTGTTTCTAAGTGGACGGGACTTGTTGTTCGCGATTGTCAGGGGGGTGGCCTATGGATGTGCAGCGCTTCAAAGCTCACCTTCGGTGCCTTGATCTGCTGTAACATTTCAATTATAAAACGCTTTGTGAAGTGTGGGAGTAAGTTGAGCACAGAATGCTATTAGCCAAAGGAGATGTTTAAACTTGTTATGCCCTTTATGTAATGATGCATCGATCGTTCGACTAAAATAGATTCTTACATTCGCAATACATGTCTCGAAGCATGCGTGTGAGAAATGGTTATTTACGATTTTAGAAAATGCTTTAAAATGCCTCTGTTACACGTAGGCTAATGGAGCCAACAAACCTATACAGTTATACAACAGAGGGAATAATCAATATAAATGAAATGGTGAAAAGGAGGCAAAATTATAACTGCTTTAATTAAATCGTCACTTCCAATCATGAGAATTTAATCAATTGGTGTGGGGCTGAGTTGTTGTACAAGTTTGTGCCCTACGAGACACTATAACCCATAGTAATCTTTTTTAAATATGAATGTACTGTAGTACAAGATTATTTACGGGCTTTTATTATAAACACTATGGTGTCATTTGGTTTATTAGAGCTCATAAATATTTATTAACTCACGTCGACGTAACACCTCTTATTATGATTACATACTTGCAGATAATTAAAAAATATGTAATTTATATAAAAACGTTACCGTTTATTTCTGCGCAAATTAAGATGCAGTGGCACCGTCTGTTGACCGCTCTCCACCGGTGGTGTAAAGTCAGAAGAAGATGATGGAGGTCAACTGCTATTGGCGTGCAATAAAAGGGGACTCGTTTTTACTCCCCTTGGGAGATGATGGGCCAAGTGCCATCTCTGAATAGTATTTAATGAAAGGAGAAGTGACCTTCTGATTGTGAGGTTAGAGCTCGGCGGTGGATATTTTGGACATTAATTTCATGTAATTTTATGATTTTAAATGTGGCTGGTGAATGGCTCACGATGCAGTATTCACAGTATTTAACTCTTTAGACTCACGATGCAGATACACAGAATTGAACTCTTTAGACTCACGATGCATGCAGTCTTCTCGTGCCCACCTCTCATCAGAATGTACGCATCGATAATTTACTGCCGACATTTATATTCCAAATTACTACACGCCTGTCCTTAAGATCGATCGATCAATATCGGCCCACTCTTCCGAACTGAATCGGGTCGCGTCGGGCAGCGCCTCCACCAAAGCCTTCCATCCTGCCCTTAAAATACAAGAAGACATACCAACATGAAGTTCTTCCTCTTGTAGAGAACTCTCACCACGTCCTGCGGCGTGTCCTCGAGACGCGAGGTCGCAGAGCGCGACGCGCAGAGCCCGGCGCCTTGCAGCAGCAGCTCGTGGGCAGTGACTCGGGCAGCAGGCGAGTTCTACCGGCAGAGCACACGTGTGCTGCTGCTCTGGGCACTCGTGCTGCACGAGTGCCCAGCAGCAGCACGAGTGCCCAGCAGCAGCAGGCGAGTTCTACCGGTAGAGCACACGTGCTGCTGCTGCTGCTGGGCACTCGTGCTGCACGAGCTGCATATCTTCTTGGTTCTTTCGGTAAAGTCACGTAGAAGGGAAGTAATAAAATAAGCGTCTTCAGACGCTGTCGCCTCGACAGACCTGGTTTTCACCTGAGGACGGCTGCTTGCGTTGTGGCCGAAACGTCGTGAGAGTTGTTTTATTATGTTTTATTTTTATTATTTTATTACTTCCCTTCTACGTGACTTTACCGAAAGAACCAAGAAGATGAATCTCTGCAGTCACGAAAGCTTTACATTGAAATTTGAGCTGCAGTTCATTTAGAGCCTGAAAGTGCAGCCACGACCGTCCCTGCCCTGCCTCTGTGCTGCTGGCGAGGGCTGCCGTGGGCAGGGGGTGGTGAGTGCGTGTGGGGGTGGTGAGGGCGTGTGGGTGGTGCGTGTGGGGGTGGTGAGGGCGTGTGGGTGGTGCGTGTGGGGGTGGTGAGTGCGTGTGGGTGGTGTGTGTGGGGGTGGTGAGGGCGTGTGGGTGGTGTGTGTGGGGGTGGTGAGGGCGTGTGGGGGTGGTGTGTGTGGGGGTGGTGTGTGTGGGGGTGGTGAGGGCGTGTGGGTGGTTCGTGTGGGGGTGGTGAGGGCGTGTGGGTGGTTCGTGTGGGGGTGGTGAGTGCGTGTGGGTGGTGTGTGTGGGGGTGGTGAGAGCGTGTGGGTGGTGTGTGTGGGGGTGGTGAGGGCGTGTGGGGGTGGTGTGTGTGGGGGTGGTGTGTGTGGGGTGGTGAGGGCGTGTGGGTGGTGCGTGTGGGGGTGGTGAGTGCGTGTGGGTGGTGTGTGTGGGGGTGGTGAGGGCGTGTGGGTGGTGTGTGTGGGGGTGGTGAGGGCGTGTGGGTGGTGTGTGTGTGGAACACTTGGGGGTTGTGTGTGGGTGTGTGGAGCCCTTGGGGGTGGTCAGTGTGTGTGTGTGGATGTGTGTGGATGTGTGTGGGTGTGTGGATGTGTGTGGATGTGTGTGTGTGGATGTGTGTGGATGTGTGTGTGTGGGTGTGTGGATGTGTGGGTGTGTGGATGTGTGTGGGTGTGTGGGTGTGTCGATGTGTGTGTGTGTGGGTGTGTGTGGGTGTGTGTGGATGTGCGGGGGTGTGGAGCACTTGGGGGTGGTCAGTGTGTGTGGGTGTGCGGGGGTGTGGATGTGTGGATGTGTGTGTGTATGTGTGTGTGTGGGTATGTGGGTGTGGTGTGTGGATGTGTGTGGGTGTGTGGATGTGTGTGTGGGTGTGGTGTGTGGATGTGTGTGTGTGGATGTATGTGTGTGGATGTGTGTGTGTGGGTGTGGTGTGTGGATGTGTGTATGTGTGTGTGGATGTGCGGGTGTGTGGACATTGTCGCCCGTCCACCTCGTGTCCCCTGGCGGCCTTCACCGGTTGCTCCTCGCTCACAGCACGTGCCCCCCCCCCCCCAACAGTCTGTTCAGACTTGACGCGAGATCTCTCTTGTGTGAGTGTCTATTTATGCTCGTGATAAAGTATATGGATGGCTGGTTTTTGCATGCGAATGGAAGGTTGTCTGGGTGGGTGTTTTATACGTGTGTGGCATGTGTGTGTGTGTATCTTGTTGTGGGTGTGGTTGTGTGTGTGTGATGTATTATTTAATAATTTACAACCCTTTGTCAATGACGCTGCTGGATGATGGTCTGCTCATTCCACGTGCGTCATTGGGGTTGATCGTCATGGCACGATCTGTGGTGGATATCTGACGGTCATTCGCCAAGATTGACTCAGCCTTAAATGAGTACTTGGTGCGGTGTGTAAACATCGCCACGAGGGAGACAAAAGCGACCGGTCTTCATAGGTTGTGACTCGCTAACAGCACTTGCCCCAACAGTCTGTGCAGGCTACACGGGGGATCTTTGTCTTGATGTTGTGTGTGTGGTGAGGTGCTGCTGTGCCAGAGCCCGACTGAAGTGTTGAAGCCACTGACACGCGGCCACTGCTGATGTCATCTGCAAGCCAGTCGCCAGGGCGACAGGCGCGTGTGTGCTGTGTGTGTGTGGTGTGTGTGTGCTGCGGGTGTGTGGTGTGTGCTGCGTGTGTGGTGTGTGCTGTGTGTGTGTGGTGTGTGTGTGCTGCGTGTGTGTGTGCTGCGCGTGTGTGTGCTGGGGGTGTGTGTGTGTGCTGCGTGCTAGGGATGGGTGTGTGTGCTGTGTGCTAAGGATGGGTGTGTGTGTGTGTGCTGGGTGTGTGTGTGTGTGCTGGGTGTGTGTGTGTGTGCTGGGTGTGTGTGTGTGTGCTGGGTGTGTGTGTGTGTGCTGTGTGTGTGCGCTGGTGTGTGTGTGTGCTGGGGATGCACCACCACCATCTGCTGCTGCTGCACCCTCGGGTGCGGCGCTGCCAAGTGGCCTTCAAAATAAAGGCCCCCCCTCATCACGCCCTTCCACACTGCTTAGCTTTAGTAGAGCATGTTTTGGGGATGGATTAGGACAATTTAAAGTGGCATTTCATCGTCGTGAAAACTTGATGTAATGCGCTCTGTTGGGCCTTTTGCAGAAGATAAACAGCAGCTTTAAATCACAATTACATACGTTTGTGTGCAATTATACGCGCGCACAATGTACTGTAAATATACATTTCGGCTTCGGCAAAGGGAAAATAAAATACCGTTAAATTATACAATATTTGTTTTAAAATCGGAAAGCATTGTAGTTTGACATTCAAAATGAAAATGTACATTGCGGTATTTAGTTTTTTTTTTTCGCTTAATCCAAATGTATCTGTATCCTTGCGTGACAATTATTGTCTATTTAAATTAATACTGTACAAGGGGATACTACAACTAGCCTTTTATAAACCTACTTGCTGTACTGTCTCAATGAGGCATCCTGTTACCCAACAGCTGGATTGACATCCAAGACGCTGACACTGAATATAGCTGCTGCTAAACATGCATACGGATGAAGGTTGCATCTTGACTGCAAGGGTCATGGGTCAAATCCCAGTCGCACAGAGGGCCGGGCACAATGCCCACAACCTACTACTGTGTTGTGGGCACTAAAGATCCCGTGACAACATTTACAAGAGCACGTCTCGTATTCCCAATGTGTACATGAATCACGGTTGTTTTACCGGTTCTTTGGTCGGTGCGCTTTACAAATCTAGGAATCGCTTTCCGCTATCACTTTACTGCTGTATCTTCGTCGTCATGGGAGGAAATGTTGCAAGTCTTTACACTCGTGCTAGGCCACTATGCCGCGGAATGATCATGCTGCTGCTGCCTTGGTAGTGGTGAACAATTAACAAATCAGTTTTGAAATTGAATCGTGGCCCCCGAATCGTGAAGGGGTCATCAAATTTCGGCGGGTGGGGAGCCACCGTTGCGTATGTTGTCTTAATGACATTATAAAGGAGAGGTAACAAGAACAGGAGAGTAAAAAAGCAATGCGAGGAAGCGCATTGCAGCTGCTGGTGTGCTTTTTTCCGTGGACGGCACCTGCATTGCTGAGCCAGGAACGGTGGGAGGGAGGCTCTTACGCAGCAAAGGGCTTGCGATTCCAGCGGTGTCCATAGGAGCAGCCCCTCCCTCCCCGTTCTCACGCTGTGAATTATTAAAAGAGAAGACACCCCGTCACCTCCTGCACCACCCAGCCACCACCATTCCCTGGGAAACCGAGCCGGCGATCCACGCCTTCGTTTCACGCCATCGTCGCCACCGCGTTCCCTGCGAGCGGTGGCTAAATGGACGGCGTTCTTCTTTTTTCACGGAGGAGACTTCCGCGCTGATTTTTTATTCCACTGCTCGTCCATCACACGCCAGCCCGGCGGAGGGGACTGCCGCCGCCGCCGCCGTAGGCTCCGCTGCGGATTTGCGGGGAGGCGTCGCCGTTGTTTGGCGGTCCTCGCCGTCGAAAATTTATCATCAATTTTGCAGCTGCTCCGGTTGGGCTGGAAACCCGTTTGTGCTTTTGGGGTTTAATTATTAGGGATCGTCCGAGCCTGAACCTTCGCGAGCGTCCGGCGACGATCGCCAGGCTGCACGACTGACGGTGTAAATCGGCTGCCGCGGCTCATCCATCACGTCTTCTTGGTGCACCATGGAAGCCGATGGAGCGTTCCGAGGCAGACGGACCTCGCGTTTGGGCGGTGGTTTTTGCGTCTTCCGTGCGGCCGATGAAGGACTCTGCGTTTCTGGAAATGTCGGCACGTCCATTGCCGCATCTGCGAAGATCAATAAAGAAGAGCGAGCGGGCTCTGCAGCATCGTGATTTGGTTGATGTCCTGTTACGGACATTGACTGAGGTCTTAGCATTTTAAATAATAATAACAATTATAGCCTGCCTGTGGTGGTGCTCTTAAACAAAACTAAAAAAGGCCACAAATACTGAATAGTAATTTTTTGTTGTTGTTAATCCGCTAATCGACGTGACTTTTCATGGAATTGGCAAATCAACAACAGCAGCGGCAACAACATCAACATCCTGGCAACGAGATCAATTGAAAGGGGCGACTAAATCTGTCGGCCACATGGTGCTGGGACGCTCGCTCTTCAGCATGGCCGTCGGGGCCCACGACGCCAGGGACGTGCAGGAGAGGGGGGCATCTCCGCTGGCTCTGGGGGGGGCTCGCAGGGACAGCGCCGTGGGGGGCGGCGTCCTGGGCAGGGTGCTTCGTACGCGGCACGGCATTTCCCGCAGCGCACCGCGTCTGCTGTGTATGCTCGAACCAGGTGCGTGGTGGTCTCGCTCATTCACCCTCGGGATCGCTCCCGATCCACTGTGAATCATGACACGCGTGCAATGATATGTAATAATACATCTAAAATACATGGCAGTAATTATCATCCTTTTGTTAACATGCTGCTGGATGAACGCCTGTCCAATGCCTATCAGTCTACTCCTTCTAGCCGTGTGACCATAGCTCACCATGCAGTGCAGATTGATGAAGGCAGAGGACCCAACATTAGTTCTAATCCCTTGCCACTGATGTTAGCCGTGACCAGGAATCACATTCAGGTTGCTGGACTCATAGCACATTGCGCTACCTCCCGCGCCACCGCCTCAACATCGTAAGTCGCATACTGTACGATATTTCCCATTCCCCCTCCCCCTTATTTAAACAAGTACATTTAAAATTCAGATTCTCAGAAAATAAGTTGAATTAACATTTTATTTCTTAGAGAAGAAGTCGTAGACAGTCGTGCTTCACCTCGTGCATGCGGTGTGCTGCTGTGACACGTGTCGGGACAGACGTAGCGGCACTGCCGAGTGATGAGTTCAAATCTGGGTGGTAACCACCCTTGATTGATTCCGATGTTCAAGTGGGATGTGCTGGTCTCAATCCAGTTACTCCTGATCGCTTAAACATAAATTCACGTTCGGTTGTCACTCAATCCAGTTTATTCGATTCGGGAGAATAAAACCCTCGATTTGATTGACGTGCAATGAACGGATTTTTTTGATGGTATAAAAGTTGTGACTGTGTGGATACACAGAGGTCTATTGCAGTGAATTGAGAATGAGTTCTTCTCCGGCCATTCTATGATGCAAGGTGGTGCACTGCTCACGGTGGGAAAACCAAATGTGTTATTCATCATCATCACGGGACACGGATAGAACAAATTCGAGTGTCTATTGGAGAAAACTAAAAATAGATTGTTGGAGCATATTGAATTGAGATAAAGTTTCATCTGTTGAGCAATGGTCCTTCCAGAGCAATATATTTACGAAGTCTCCGATGAGCATGGTTGGCTACGTACGGTGTGAAAGAAGTTCAACATAATACATACAGTACACCCAAGATAATCCAGCATCAATTGTGACCACCACCAGCAGCAGCAGGCTCTGCTTGGTGCCCTGGTGACCTGATTAGGGGCCCGGTTTAGCAGAATACAGAAAAAAGTTCCCAATACTTGCGCAGATAATTAGTTAAAATGGCAAAAATAATTGTCAATAATCAAAATATGTATTTACACGTTCTAGAATGTAAAATATGTAATCCTTTGATACATTATTTATGAGAAAAGTTAATTGTAAAATTTGTATTACCTTTTGTTAACGTTTATCTTAAGTGAATATTATTCAATGGCCACTGACATTCAGTAAACATGCAGTTTGAATTCATACAGTGCTTTGTTATACTGGATTGACACCCAGACCTTGGTATGGTCTGAGTGCTCGACTCACGATTGGAAGGGTCTAAGTTCAATTCTCAGGTTGTGGATCAACTCGGCCTATCGACCTTGTGGGGTAAAGAAAAACGACTGCCACTTTCTGGGAAGTCAACAGTGGACCTCTTGTTAAAACAAAAACAAACCTGGTCCCTCCATGAGAATGTGCACTTCTCACCACTGGCTCAGGGACACGGTAGAGATGAGCATCGCTCCATCGGCAATCGAGCAGGCAGAGTGAACCATACACATCTCCTGGTATTATGTACTTCCTCAACCCTGTAGACACCGTACACATCTCTTGGTATGATGTACTTGCTCAACCCCTCAGACACCATACACATCTCTTGGTGTGATGTACTTCCTCAACCGTTTAGACACCATACACATCTCTTGGTATGATGTACTTGCTCAACCCTTCAGACACCATACACATCTCTTGGTGTGATGTATTTCCTCAACTCTTCAGACATTCTCTTGTTCTGTGGCCACAGTCGGGCAGTCTCATCCACCCAGCCTTATGCACACATTTAAGATGATGTTAAAGAGAAACCACTTTGTTTTTAAATAGCATTTGCTTTCTTTCAATTAAATCGAAATTGTGTGTCATTGACGTCACGGCAATGAGAGCGTGTTGACCCAGGAGGAACTGATGGGGGGGAGCGTTATCTCGACTCCGCGTCTGTTCAGTGTCCATAGTGACGCAGCAGTGTATGCCTGCAGCTCGGCTACACTGCGCTTTGCGATCACATTCGTGCCCTGCACAGGCTGTGAGGGGTGAACGGTGGGTAGCAGTACAGCAAATAAGTCACCGGCTTGTCTTTGTGGAATTATTTTCTTCCACCCCACTTATGTTAGCCGTGGCCAAGAATAAAACCCAGGTCATCGGGTCCATCACACAGTGTGGCATCTGTGACAACTCAGCAGTGTGCTCTAACAATGCAGCACAGCGATATTCTGTAGTGGATATTCCAACACGCTGTACGTTCACTTGACGACGAGCCGCTACCCCATCCACTGTGTGGGGTCCGCGGCCGGGATGTCCGGCTCCCTGACGTGTCTGCGGATGCTGTCGCGTGCTGCTCAGCGCGGTGTTGTCCGTCGTTTCGCTCCCCGTGCCGGGAGCTTCTTCAGTTCCTCCACTTGCGTGGCCATCGCCGTAAGCAGGGAAGTGGCCATCGCAATAAGAACGTGGAATGTCCTCCACTGGCCCTGGACTGCCAACAAGAGATGGACACCACCTCGCTGGCCTACTGAGCAGGGAGACGCTGACTTCACCATTCACGATCACAACCCCATCGGTCGAGAGCAACTCATCCGACCGCTCGCTCACATTTACACACGCTTCACTAAGATCATCTATCGGCGGTGAGAGGCGTACCGAGTCATGGCTCTGACCACTGCGTATGAATGGGGACAGCTGTACCAAGTGGTGGAGCAGTCCATCTGATCCACCCTTTCAGGGGGCGGGGCGGGGGTGCACGAGGCTGACCTCCCCAAGCCATAGCAGATGGTGCAGGCCGTGTGGCTCTCAGGACTCGGCTTTAGAGACGACGCTAATCTCCCGGGCACAGTGCGAGCGTGCGGTGCTCGGGTGGCCTGAAGCGCTAGTACAGCCGAGCGTCCAGCATGGATGAGCAAGGTCGGTGAACGCACATCTCAGAAGTGCCGAGTCAAACCACTCAGGCTCTGGGCGGTGCTCCGTAGTGATGGGTGAATTGAGACGTCGGTGATGAATGTGATTATTCAGGTTATGAATTTAATCATGATCGTGGTGGTTGAATGTGATGTCGGTCATCGTCATGATGACGCTGGTGGTAGTGATATTGAGTGCTGGATTTGATGATTATGATGATCACCGTGGGGCTAAGTTACTGAAAATCCCCGTCTATATTTGCTGTCTAAATGATAACACTAATATGTTTAAAAATGAGGCATTTTTCGGTATTATTATTTGTGATGATAGAATTTAAATGCATCCATGTGTGATTTGCTTCTTCCATGATCCGGCAGAAAGAACAAGGCGCTGGTAACCTGCTGCCGTTGGTTGCATTTGTCAATGTCCAACTTGACTCCTCGAAAGCCACGACTCTAGCAAGTAGCCAAGCGTCGTCCCCCAGCTCACGTGAGCGTGCGTTGGGCTTCCTCTCCATTGGTGGCCCCGAACCAGTGGGGGAACCGTCCCCACATTTCTACGGCGTGACCGGTATCTCCGTAGGACATCCACAAAGTGGTCCTCATTATCCCTTGATTCCAGAGAGATGGTGGCTGAGTCGACCCCTGAAATGGGATTTGAGCCGAGTGTTTCACTGAGAGTACCATGGTCGGGTGAAGTTTAGAAGTATGCTGCTCTAAATTGAATACTAATCTCTTTAGAACTGCTTTTTGTGTTTAGTTTGTTGTCCTTCCCCCGCACCTTCGATTAGCACGGTTGGCTACGTATGGTGCGAAAGAAGTTAAAAATACTGTATATACATACATATTGGTGTCGTGTATGCAGAACCTTCAATAAACTGTGGTGTGCTCCATTCATGCATGTGCTGTGTGTGGTGTGTCTGTCTGGGTGTGTGTGTGTGATTCTGTACCACACAGGCATCGACACTCGACTCAAGTTCACTGTGGCTCCATCACCGGGAGCTGATGGCTTTCAGCAGGTGAGACGAAGGCCACATTCCCAATGGAAGGGGGTGGTCTGATCTTTTGAATAACCTCCTCAAACTTTCACAAAGTGGTACTCGTTTTTATAAAACCTGGATGATTGGCTGAGTTGACCCTCGGCCAGGCTGTGAACTCGTTAAGCTTCTGATCGTACATTGCAGTACCCTGTCTCGCTCATGCCACCGCTGACGGAAAGGCCTCCTCCGCTTGAGGAAGCTCTGTAAGCCCCACAAGTGGATATTTAGCCTCCTGTTCCACGCTGGCCACACATCTTTGAAGAGGGGGGAGTACCCACAGTTTACCCCACCACACCATCTGCCGATCCATTCGCTGTGCTGCGCTGATTGGTGGACAGAGGCTGGGAGCATTAAAAAAAAATCCGCTGGCAGATCCCACCAGCCACTTCTAGATCGCAAGTACCGTGTGCTAACCATGACACTGCGACAGCATTCATTCCATATTTATTTTATGCAATTAACTTGCCGATTAATGGCCAACCATATTGCACTTGATTGACATTTTCAATTAATTCAGTTTTACCCAATCTTGATTTAAAACGAGCATTGGGCAGACAAACACAGTCAAACGACGGGCAGCGGCCGTCACGGTTAAACTCTATTGGGAGATCAGGGAATGCAATTAAATGTGACGGTGCGGTAAGTCCCGTAGAGCCTCATCTCGATGCTGTTGGCAGCCCGGATGTGTTGCTGTGCTGTTTGACCTTTGCTGTGGTCATGGACCAGGGATTTGCTTTGTAAGTGCTGGGAGTGACAGGTCGGTGTTCTGTTGTGGCCCGTTGGAACGTTTGTTTGTCCACTTGGGAAATACTGCCGTCCGTTGCTGGGGCCAACTAACATATGTTAACGTAAACTGCAGGTGCTTCTTAATTACAGCACTTTCCACTCTAAACGTGACAGCCAACGATGACGAATTAGATCTAATGAGCCTCCAATCGGTGCATAACAATAATTATTATTATAATAATAAGCGTGTGGTGATGCACCATGCCACCCGCCCCCACCAGACCTTGAGGGGATAGTGATGGCACGGGAAGGCTTGCAACCAGCAGATGATGATGATGATAATGATTACGTTAACAGCGATGATTATGACGGTGATGATGTTAATGTTATTCACCTTGATATTGATGATGATGATATCCATAATGTTGATGTTGAAAATGATGCTCATGATGAGGACGGTGATGATGATTATGTTGATGTTATGATGATCGTGACGCCGGCGATGATGATTCAATGGAACGTTGTCCCGTGTCCCACAGTGGTACGATGCCCTCAAGGCAGTGGCCCGTCTCCCCACCGGCATTTGCAAGGACTGGCGCAGGAGGGTGAGGCACTCACACACGTCTGGGCTCTGGGACCACGTTTGCTATTCGCGACCATCACGCCGGTGCTTTGATTCCGACGCGGTTTGCGGTGGTTTCACAGCGGGGGGCTATTTGCCTGCCGTGTGAGCCCAATGGAATAATTTGCAGGTGTTTTTTTGAAATGTGGAAAATTTGGACCTTGATTTCGATGGACTCAACACATACGTTTGTTTAAATGTGGAAACACGGAACGGAGATCTGCTGGTGTAGTTCTCGAGTGTTTGTTGTTGTCTGGGCTGACTGCTAGTGGGTGAGATGCGGTGGTTCTGATCGGAAAGCTCCGTTACAGGTGTCTCACTCTGGCCCTGTTCTACAGGTGTGGCTCACTCTGGCTGACCAGTATCTGGAGAGCAACGCCATCGACTGGGAGAAGACGCTACGTTTCGCCTTCAACGACCGCAGCAACCCCGACGATGAATCGATGGGCGCGCAGATTGTAAAGGTCCGGAACTCGCTGTCTGTTCAAGAAACAAGCGCTCACCCTCAACCCTCCTCCTCCCGGATCTATTGGGAGCACCCATTTTCTATTCTTTTTTTAACTACTAGCGAGAGGACAGAAGAGATGTAGACCAAATATAAAGATATAGAGAGGTGAGAAAATGTAGACAAAAGATTGAGCTGTAGGGAGATGAGATAAGATAGATGTAGATGAGACAGAAGTAGTGAAATGAGAGCAACGTAGACGAGAGACACAGATGGAGTTATACAGACGAGATAGGGATAGGAAAGACGAATTCGCATTTTTTGCTCACGCCTAGCATGGCCACCCCTGCTGCGTCTGCCGCTGCAGGACCTGCATCGCACGGGCTGCAGCGCGTACTGCGGGCGCGAGGCCGAAGGTGACCGCGTGGTGCTGAAGCGCGTGCTGCTCGCGTACGCTCGCTGGAACAAGGCCGTGGGCTACTGCCAGGGCTTCAACGTGCTGGCCGCACTCGTGCTGGAGGTCACCGAGGGGGACGAGGGCGAGGCGCTCAAGGTGCCCCCCCCCTCCCACCACCACCACCACGGGCCTGAGCCTCCCTCGTCGTTACCGTGTCGCGGGTTTCACCCCGAGGGCTGGAGATGAGAGTTGGAGGAGGACCCGTGACGTAACTCGCTCTCGTGGTGTTGTACAGGGATCTTGGTTCGCTTTGTTACGCACTGTCAGCACAGTACTGCTGGGGAACAGTGCTACCTACAGAAGGCCGCTAGGCTGAAGAAAGTCTTTCCATAATCTGTAGAGGTATTATTGCTCACATGTCTATATAGACTTTATCCAAATCCGGGAATATAGCCCTGGGCCAAGATAGGAATATGGAGCTGGCATGGGCCCCTCCCCTCTCGGGCCGTAGTCTCCTCGGCAGGTACCGTCAGTTAGCGAACAATCAGCCTTTTGTCAATTATATCTAGAAAAAGAGGTAATTAAATCCCATGTTTATTTTGGCTCCAGCCATTGGAATGTGGAATTTCGACTGCTGGACTTGAAATTAGACACCAGTGATCTCAGCCAGTCAATCCATAGCACCTGGGTCTGTGCTGCGACCTCCTGTGAGTGAGCCTTCATCACGTTACGTGGCCTCAAGGTGCACCTAGCCTGGCACAAAGTGCCTTGGTGACGTCACCGCCACTTGGTGGCGAATGTCGGTGGTTGTGGAGGTGTGCCCGCGTGTAACGTGTGTGAAGTGTCCCTGCTGAGCGGATGTCTCTCGGCTTCCTGCTTCCTGGCTGTTATCCTTCGGAGCTGATCTTAATGGAACTTTTGGCTTAGTGAGTTTCCACCATCTCCCACTGTACTGCCATGCCTACAGACAACGTGGGACCCGACTTGTATAATGTATGGATTGTAAGATCGCAATAAGGCAGCGACTTGGAATATTATCGTTCAAATCTGCGACAGGTGAATCTAAACGTTTTTTTTCCCTGCAAAATAAATAACAACAAATATTTTTGCCTGGTGATTGCCTTCTCAAGCACTTGGCAACACAATTTGCCCTTTAATATTTTTCTTTCCACACCTTTCTGTTTATCCCATTTACCCAATTATAATTATCGGACTTTTCCCAATTGCTACATTATCCCTGCACCTTCCTGCCCTTGTCACTCCCTCCACTGCTTCCCCTTTCACTACCACCCCCTTCTTTACCACCCCATTGTCATGCCACCCTCTTCACCACCACCGCCTTCGTTGATTTCGCTACCACCCCTTTTCAGTGCTGCCACCTCCTTCATTCCGCCCCCCCCCCCTTGTTCATCGCAGCCTTCCTTGCTTCCTCACTGCTGCCCCCTGTAGTTCCCGCCCCAATTGTGTTTCCACCACGGCTCCTGTGCTCACTTGGCGTGGCGTGTGCTGCCCCCTGGCTGCTGCCCCGCTGGTCAGGTGATGATTTACTTGATCGACAAGGTGCTGCCCGACAGCTACTTCGCCAACAACCTGCGCTCGTTGTCCGTGGAGATGGCCGTCTTCCGAGACCTGCTGCGTCTGCGTCTGCCCGACCTCTCGCTGCACCTGGACGGCCTGCAGCGTGCCGCCAACCGCGACACCGGAGGGACAGGTGGGGGTCACGTGGGGTGGTCATGTGGGAGTATGTGGGGGCATCGGTAATTAATATCTAAACCGGTAGTTAAATTGGATGTATTAAGTGACTGAAACATCTTAATATATAGAGGACCGTAGGCTGCTGCCATCCCACTTGTCTGCTTCCTTCACACCTCTGAGTTGTTCTATCTCTTCAAGATTGAGCGAATATTGTGCGCGTAAAAAGTTTAAATCATTATTAATATTACAAGAGCTTAGGGAAAATAGACAATGGGAGGGAATACCAATGTGGAGGAGCTTCAGGAAATAACCAGAAAGAGACGCGTTTGGCTTGCAGTCAGGTGGCGGAGCACAGGACGGATGGGACAACACCGTGAGCTGTTAGACCAAGTCTGAGTGTACGCTACTTGGGGGATGTTTAGAAAGTAAAAGTCTATTTTATATAGCGCCATTCACACAAGGCCTCAGTGCTTTACAACACAATCCCAGCAAAAACCCTTCACACTCAAACTAGATGGATACGCAAGAGAAACCTCGACTGACGGAGCTTCCCTCACGGTCTTTGTGTGTGCGTGCGTGCAGGCAGCTACGAACCGCCGCTCACCAACGTGTTCACCATGCAGTGGTTCCTCACGCTGTTTGCCACGTGCCTGCCCAAGGCAGCCGTGCTGCGCATCTGGGACTCTCTCTTCTTCGAGGGTTCCGAGGTCATCCTGCGCGTGGCCCTCGCCATCTGGGCCAAGCTTGGAGAGTAAGCGATGGCGAGGGGTCGCGGGGTCACGGGGTCATGGGGTCATCTGGGGATCCAGTGCCTCGCCGTGTTCAAGCCGCTACTGTACATGGTGGGCTCACATCGTCGCGTCTTGACAGAGACTTTTACAAAAAGGGGGTTTGGAACCTACGCCTTGTGGACTGGATATGGGCCCACATGAGGCTTCCCACTCGGAGCATCTTAGCTACACCGATTGGGCACTAGAGGGGAATATTTCTGACTTTGCAACCTTGTTTTTTATATTTTAGTGCCGTCAACGTAAGCCCTAACCATTGCCCACATTATTATTGGATTACGCCGAGGTGTGTGTGGCCCACCACCAAACATATTTGGAAGCCGTGTTTGGGCCTCGGTAAGGAAGAGGTTCCCCCACCCCCTGCGCGCGTGGTGCCCAGGCGGATCGAGCACTGCCGCAGTGCGGACGAGTTCTACAGCGCCATGGGCCAGCTCACGCAGGAGATGCTTGAGAAGAACCTCGTCGACTGCAAAGAGCTCATGCAGGTGGGGACGACGCTCGCGCCGGCGGCAGGGCGCGCCCGCCTCGACACGCGGGGCCCGGAGCACTCCGCACTCCACAAAGCGGGCCGCGTCGGGACTCAAACGCGGGATTTAAAAGGGCGCCCCCGGTGGCAGCTGTCCTTATGTGGCACAATGCGACTGCATCCGGTCTTGCAAGCGGGCAAGATTTCTCGAGTAGTGGGGCGATGACGTTTATAATTCTGAACGGATTCATTGTGTCGTTGGTGGGTGTTTGTTGAGAATGACCCACAAAGAGTCGATCTCTCAAAACTCATTCTCAGATCTCGTTCCGTGATCATTTGAAGCGATCCACACAATCGGGGGCGGTGCACTTTCCGTGCATAGCAGTCAAAACAATTAGTTTATTTATCTCTTCCGAATATAAGCCAATTTCCGATGTATGTCACCGACATTAACTTTTATGTGGCGGTTGTCCAAACGGTGCCATTGTCTCATAGGCGTCTCTGTATTGCTTCGCTCGATGTGACGGAGGTGGTTCTGACGTTGCTCCCGGTTGAACACCTGGCCCTGTCTCCGTCGTACGCAGACGGTGTACTCCATGGCTCCGTTCCCGTTCCCTCAGCTGGTGGAGCTTCGAGAGAAGTACACCTACAACATCACGCCCTTCCAGGCCCACGTGAAGCCTCACGGCGCGCACGGGTACGCTGCTACAACACCGTGTCCGCGTGTCTGTGCACACGTGTGTGTGTGTGTGTGCAGTTGGAGCCACTACACGCTGCTTGTAATGATCGGTAATTACAGAACGCCGCACCATGGGGGCTCGCGAGGAATGGAGCTGGCCGATAACATTTAATTATTTTTTTACATTTGTGTGATGCGTGCGTGCCTGTGCATGGCTTCTTGTGTTTAGTTCTGTGCCTGCGTGTGTGTGTGTGGGCACGGGTTGCTCCTCTGCTGCCCCCCCTACCCCATAATATGGAACTTTCTTCCCTCGGCCATCGGTGCTGTTGGCTTCCCGCCTCTATTCAAGTCTATGCTCATGGCCTTCTCTTTCACCTGGGCCTTTGCCGGAGTGCCTCTACAAAATAAACACGCCCATCGTTTCTGGATAGTCTTGAGATGCTGTCACATTTAGTTCATGGGCCAGAGCGGAAATTTCTCCCACCTGAGGTAGCAAATTCTTAAGTAGTATCGATGTGGCTAATAATAGTACATAATTTGTTAAATAAATAAATAAAATACTAATTTTATGAAAATAACTAAACTAAATCACATTTCGGAGGCAACACAAGTTTCCGAAACGCCGTGATTTAATTAATTTCTTTTTATTTTTTATTTTTCATCTACGTGACTTTACCGAAAGAACCAAAGAGTATGTATCCTTGCAGTCACAAAAACTTCAAATCTAGAATCATTTGTTAACTTTACTAATTTCAAATGGCTACCACATCGTTCACAAGCGGTGATTGTGTCTGGGTCCGTGGCCTCATGGAGTCCCTCTATCGATACACTTTGCACCTGCGTTCTGGTGAGTGAAGCGTGCGTTGTGGTGCGTGCGTTGCGGTGCGTGCAGCGTGCCGGTGCTGGGGAACCGGGACCGCGACAGCGACGACGACCTGGAGCTGGAGGACGACGACACCGCCGCCATCCCGGTCACCTGCCTGGGCCCCTTGGGGGGCCTCTGGCAGGTGGGGACACAGCGGCCGCACGTCCCGAGCCTCCGAGGTAGGGGCGATACCGCCCGAGCTGACGACTGAGACGACGGTGACGATGGGGAGGGAGGTGGCCGAGAGGCTGGCGGTGAGAGCCACTGCTGAGTGGCTCGGGAGGCGAGGTGCAGGTCAGGAGTGAAATACTCCATTTCAGGTCGAATCCAGTCAGCGTCTTGCTGTGGACTCGAGTGAGGCGGCTGCGAGTGTGAACACACTCGCCGTGACAAATTGGGGCACACCGGCTTGCATTTAAATAGCAGAGCTGTTGTGATTACGGTACAGGGATCGTAGTCTTCACATCGGCCAAAAGCATCCCACGGGTCGCGATTGGTTTAAGTGTACGAGAGGCCGCACTTCACGGGAAAGGCATGCAAACAACCGGGGATGCAGTGCATTCCAGCAGCATCCATTAAAGAGCTGTTGTCTACGGATGACTGTGTGGTGTCTCCACTCACACGACCAGTGGGGTGGTGGTGCTCGTCTGTGAGCGATCCTGAGCCAGAAGTGGTGTTCACAGTCCTTTGCTTGGTGGCAATATTTTTAGAGAACACCCACTGTTGACTTCCTAAAAAGCGGGAATGATTTCGTCGACCCAGGAAGGAGGAGCTGACTCAACCTCTAACCTCTTGAACTCGTGCCTCCCGATCATGAGTTGAGCCAATGTTCTAACCCACACTGACATCCAAACACCAAGATCCTCGGTTTGAATGAGGAGTGAGTTGATGGGCAACATCTGGGCACTTGACTATGAAAAATCTGACTGTAGATCTCTTCATGATATTTAATAATTCTGACCAGCATACAATTACACTGGTGATGTGATGACGAGGTCGCTGAGGAATATCACAGTGATGTGTACATTGGTCTTCAAGGTCGTGAGCTATTTTTTATTGAATAAGTTACAGTGATGAAGATTGTTATGTAAATGATGATATTCATGAAATTATGCTCTTTATATTTATACTAAGATGAACCTGATAATTAATATGATTAAATATCATGTTGTATATGAGCCTGATGATGAAACTTTATAACAATTAACGATGATCATGTACATGACGTCACTGATGCAGATTAAAAAGATGATACTGACACTCGGTGATGGTGCCGACAATGGGAACGAATTGCAATGCTGAGAGCGGAGATCACCTCGATGTTGACAATAACAGCGATGCTGACGATGACTGTGGTGATGCTGACGATGACAATATTGACGACGATATTGACGATGATTTTGACAATGACAGTGATGACGACGATTCTGACGATGATGGTAGTGATGACGATAATCCTGGTGGTGATGACGACAACGATACTGACAATGACGGTGGTGGTGACGACGACGACGTCGATGCTGGCGACGCTGTAACGGCTTCCCCCTCCCTGTGCCGTAGACCACGCCGGGGAGGAGGGCGGCGGTGGCGGTGGGGGCGGCCGTGGGCGCAGCGTAGCCGAGGCGAGCCCGGGGGCCGTGGGCTCGGGCCGCACGGCCGCACACGAGCACCAGGCAGCGCTCAACAGCATGATGATGGAGCGCATGAGCACCGACATCCAGGCTCTGACGCGCCAGTACGGGCGCATCCGTCACCGGCAGAGGCTGCAGACGCACCTGGTGTGCCCCCGTACAGGTGCCTCCTCCTCTACGTTGTCCCTCAGGTCGATCGTTTGTCTCTTGGTCTGCCTGTCAACCTGGCCACCTGTCGGCATTTATACCTTTGCGTGCGTGCGTGTGCAGAGCCTAGTGGGAGCGGTTAGCATGCCGCACGACAAACCTGCCACCCGAGTTCGATTCCTGCTCAAGGCCAACACCAGTGACGATTATCTGAACCGGTCCTGGGCCTCCCCTAGATCGACTCGGCCTCAAAAGAGTGCCTGGTGTGGTGTGTAAACATCGCCACGAGGGAGAGAAAGGCAGCCGGGCATGGTGCTGGCAACCCACCCCCTCATGTGCCGTGCCGGCCTTCGTAAGCGCTCGCTAACAGCACTTGACCCAAAAGTTTGTTCAGGCTATAGGAGGGATCTTTGTCTTTGCAGAGCCTAGGCCCATGCTACTGTCGGGGCCCAGCATGGAGCCCCCACCTGTGCTCAACCACCTGATGCTGAGCAAGCAGCTGCAGCGCACGGCCTGCGAGAGGAACTGCACGGTGGTGCGCGACGGGGTGGTGGAGGGCGCCACCGCCAAGCGCAGCGCGGGCGCACGCAGCCGCCGGAGCAGCAGCGACAGCGCCCCAGGTGACGATGTCCTCGCGTGTCACGGGACTCTACTAGGGCTCGTAATGGCCGTGTTCGCTGCAGGTGCCGGGGTCTCGAGCTCAGATCCTGGTTAATGTTGTTGTTGTTGCTATGCTGGTCGTGGAGAGGTAAAAATATTCTATCCGTGTGCACAGTCACGTGTGTGTGCATTTTTGTACGTGGCCGTGTACGGATAGACCGGCCTCCACCATAGCAATATCGAATTTCTGCCGGGTGGCGAGATGTAAACTACCTCGCCTGGTAATGCAGGAGGTCGTGGGTTCGATCCCGGCCCTGACACCTGCGGTATATTTTGAGTTTGCGTGTCTCTCTCCCCGTGGGTGCATGGATTTTTCTCCGGGTCTTCCGGTTTTTCCCTCCACATTTAGAATCAACATCACGCGTTTAAAGTATTTGGCTGAATTTGTTTTCCACTTGATAAGCCAGTTCGTTGAGCTATCATTTGTGGCCAGGTTGCTTCTGAAAAAGAGCTGTATAGCTCAGTGAGCCTTACCTGGTAAAATAACATTTTCGTTTAGAATACTGCTAAACCCTTGTTTAATCAGAGAGGCAATTTGATGTTTGACTTACATACAGAACACTTCAGCAAGAGTGGAGACTCGATCCATTGGCAGAAATTCCACATTGTCCTGGGTGTGAGGGGTGATGGGTGATGAGCGGGGGTATGAGCAGTCTCTGCTTGGTCATCCATTGTTGACGATGCTAAAACTGGTACCAACTTTTTATGTACCCCCGGTGCAGGCTCCCGCTGCAAGCCGGACAGCCCTGACGGAGCGGGCGTGACGGGAGATGAGCACGAACCTGCACCGCACCGTCACGAGCAACGCGGCGACGCCCGCCCCGACGTCGGCTCCGGCTCCGATGCCGGCTCCACCAGCACTTTGGGGAGCGCTGGGGACGAGGGGCCCCACCGCTCCGACGGAGTGATCGAGGAGCCCGCCGAGGGCGGCTCCGGCAGTACCGTCTCGCCGTCGTCCGGTTGCTGCGGCGGCTACGGCATCGACGCTTCGGAGAAGCCGGCGAACCCGGACATTGCCCGGCCCAAGGAGCTCGCGTCGCAGCCGCGTGGACGTGGCGAGACTGCTTCGGACGGCTCGGGTGCGGCGAGTGCGACGGGCGCAAAGGATCCTCGGTCTTCGGACAACAGCTCGGCGGCGGTGGTGGAGGCGGTCCCGGACGAGCGCCCCGTGGCGGAAGGAGGCGTCTCGCGGCCCGTGTTCGGGGACGGAGACGAGAGGCGGCCCAAGTCCCGCACGAGTTCGACGTCGTCGGCCGCGAGCGCCCGTTCAGTGGAGTCGCGCGGCAGCTCGGACGCGAGCGAGGGGCGGCCCGGCTCGGCCGCGGGGCCACGGGCGCCGGCGTTCAACCCGTTCCCCAGCGCCAAGACGCCGCGCAAGTCGGCGGCGGCAAAGAATCTGGGGCTGTACGGCTCGGGCGGGCGAACTGCCGTGCCGCCGATGTCTCGGCACAACGGACGAGCCAGCGGCAAGGCCGGCAGCTAGGACTTGATCAGAAACATAGAAATATTGAACAGCAAGAGAAATGGTGACGTTGTTTCCACACTCCAAACGAGCGGTTGGTGGGGACGTTCCCTTGTTTGGCAGTTTTGAGCCAACGATGGAAGTTCTTCACTCCTCCCGCGAGGGCCAGGCCCCATAGCGTCGGCGCTGTTGGTTCCCGTGAAATGGTACTCTATCTACCCAGAAAGGATGATGGGATGATTTGACGCTTGACCAGGGTTGTAACTGGCATCCTTTCGACGGCGAGTCACGGGTGCGTGTCTGTGTGTGTCTGTGTGTGTCTGTGTGTGTCTGTGTGTGTCTGTGTGAAGATTGAGAGCAAGGCTCGATTGATATACACTTCAATCGATCTATTGTCACACAATGTCTTCTCATGCTGCAATGTATATATACACATCTATCATGGTAATGATAATGATTAATATATTGAGTAATAATGAAGCAGTGTCATTTCTAAATAATAGTTTATTATAATAGTTAAATAACATTTTAAAAGTCCGTGCCTCCCTTCTCCAAAGAAGATTGGGGAGTACCTGTCTTCATTGGCGGTCCAAAGCCAGTGGTGGAAATTCCACATTTCTTTGGCGGAGGTCACCATCTCCATATCATAACCACTGTTGGCTTCCTCCAAAATGGTGAAAAAGTGTGCATATTTATGTATCCAACTATCGTGTGAATTTTACACGAAGAAGACTGGATGGGTTATTTACAGTGCTTGTGGTAAAGTTGTGGTGTGGTGGTGTTCGGCACCATAGAACATCTATGACATTTGTCGCATTAAATCATGACAGCCCTATCACATCTCCCAGTGTTGGTAAAACAAAAAAATAGGGTTCCTAAAGCAAACCCATAGGGTTTACCCACATTCCTGTACAGGCCCATACGGCATACAGCCGTTTCAATACGGGAATTTGTTTTTTATTTTGTCTAGTTAGTTTTTTTTTCTCCCTTGTGATGGGACTTTGTAGGATGAACCTTGATATGTATAAGGGCACGGGGTGACCAATAAGGTCTGAATTGTTCTGTAATAAGGTAGGGCACTGATAAGGGGTTGACAGATTTGCCAAAGTCGGGTCCCAGTAACCCCATAATACCGCTGCCTCCAGCGTGTGAGCGTCAAAAAGAGGACTATTGTTTATCATGGACTCATGTATCATGTCTTCGGATTACATTTTCCAAAAAGTAATTCCTAAATTATTTAAAAAAGGAAAGTCGTGGACAGTTTGTGTTATTATGAAGATAGTAGCAACTAATTCAAATAAATGATGCTTTAATAGTCAAAGGGTAAATCAGCCTATGATAATATGAAGAAAGTATGCATGGAATTAATAGAGAGTACTGTGCTCGACCGTGTTTTGGAAATGCCAAATACAGGATTAGGTGACACCGAGTCCTCGAATCTCTGGTCATCTGTAACTAGAAACCATCAAGTAAAACTATCCCAACACTTCGTGTCTTTCTACCTTGCCTACTCCGCAAGTACGAGAGAAAGTAAAAATGTAATATTACAAGAAATCTTGTTCATAGCAGAACCAAAGCCTTCAACGAAAATATTCGCATATCGTGGGATTTTTCGTAATAAAGACGATAAAAACATTTGACTTCGCTCCAATGGATAATTGTAAACACGAGACCAACATTCAAAATGGCGCAACTCTCATTTGCTGCTCGCGGTTGTGATGTTTTTCACATTTCAATGTCGTCATTCCAGTCATGGCCTAGTTAACGAGACATGGTCCCAGGTCCAGATGTAGAACAGAGATTAATGCAACAATACCAAGCTGTGCATGTGAATTGAAACTTGCTGCTGTTAAGTTTATATATATAAAAATACAATTCAAAGATGTTCTTTGTTTTTTTGTTGTTGCGTAAAACCTGTCCATAAGTGCGTGTATTGGCTCTCAGAGCCTGATTTTAGAGGCCTGTTTTGTTGCTGCAATTTGACTGGAATTTTGTACAACATTGTACTATCGTATGGCACTCGTACGACGAGAGGGACATGGATTGCATGATGCAGCGAACATCTTTCTCTGCGGCCCCTCTGCTTGATCCACACGCTTGTGTAGTTGTGCGGTGTTTAGCTTTCCTTCAGCAAGTCGGTGAAAGGACAAATCAAATAATACCCTCTCCAGCTCTGTCATTGGCACTACCGTATAACTAGCGGTGGACATAATCACACGACTTACTATTCATTAGAATATCACATACATCATTTAGGCATTCAGCCAAATTTGAAGACGAACTTTTTAACGTTTGTATTCAGTAGACTGGCATCCCTGTCACCATCTTATCGTTTCAGTCTCTCTCGCTCTAAACATGCCAAGCAGGGCTCCTGAAATTCCGTCTCCAGGTGGGTTGAGACCTTTCTGGACAAGGGGGATCTATTGTTATGATCGCAAATGGTCCCAGTAGCATGTGTCGGTGCTTAATAAATGGGATGGGCCTGGAACAGGTCCCATGCTGCTAAGCTGTGCAATTTCACTAAATCACATTATCGTTAAAAGTAACACAACTTGAATTAAATCTTGACTTAAAGCTTTCGTGACTGCAGGAATTCATATTCCTGTTTTTGTTATTTTTTTAACCTATCTACGTGACTTTGCCGAAAGACCCAAATAATACTTTAATTGTAAATAATGAAGCGCATTGAGTTTAATGTTAACATAACCAAAACAATCAAGCACGAAATGACTGCACAGTATTGTAACCTTTATTACTGGGACGTTGTGTTCCTATTACGATTCTGCTAAATGGTAACCGCTAAACCGGTAACCGTTTCCATTGGAATTATATTCGGAATAGGTGGGCGCACCCACACTTTACCCCACCACCACCACCCGTGAGTCTGTGATGAAGCCCAGTTGTGGTTGTTGTTGCTGGGGGGGGGCAGGGGTATGTGGTGAAGCCCAGTTGTTGTTGTTGTTGCTGGGGGGGGCAGGGGTCTGTGGTGAAGCCCAGTTGTGGTTGTTGTTGCTGGGGGGGGCAGGGGTCTGTGGTGAAGCCCAGTTGTTCACCTGGCCTGTTGCTCTGTGTGCGGGCTGTTCTAACCGGGGGGGGGGGGGGGGGGGTCCCCCATGCGGCTCGCGGAAATGCTCGATGCGGATGTGAACATCCCCGGGTCCTCCTCCTGTGGGCTGAGTGTTGGGCACAATTGTGACGGCAGAGGGCGGCAGCTCGCTACTGGGGCCCACAGTCGGGGCCCTCTGGGGGGCCCTCTGGGGGCCCTCTGGGGGGTCCTCTGGGGCAACGCGAGACGAAGCTCCGCTGCTGTGGCGATGGCGTCACGGGCCCACACCGGACCTGCAACACCCACTCGCTCACGGGCCCACACCGGTGGCGATTATCTGAACCGGTCCTGGGTCTCCCCTGTCCAGACTCGGCCTCAATCGAGTACCTGGTGCGGTGTGTCAACATCGCCACGAGGGAGACAAAGGCGGCCGGGCGTGGTGCTGGCTGCCCACCCCCCTCGTGTGCGCCGTACCGGCCTTCACAGGTGCTACTCGCTCGCAGCACTTTCCACACAATCATGTGAAGGCTCCACGGGGTGTATTTGTCGTGTGTTCTCTGGGCAAGGCGACGAAGCATGGGAGTTGGGATTGCACGCGGGTCGTGATCCAGGCATCGCAGCCAATGGAAGATGAGCGCGTGTCCGATGCTGGACACGAGGAGCCGCGGTGGCACCACGTGACACGAGACGTCCAAGTGGCACCACGTGACACGAGACGTCCAAGTGGCACCACGTGACACGAGACGTCCAAGTGGCACCACGTGACACGAGGAGCCGCGGTGGCACCACGTGACACGAGACGTCCAAGTGGCACCACGTGACACGAGACGTCCAAGTGGCACCACGTGACACGAGACGTCCAAGTGGCACCACGTGACACGAGGAGCCGCGGTGGCACCACGAGGCTCCGCGCTGTTTGCCGGCACGAACTCGAGCGAGTCACGTGGAGACATTGTTTCACGCCTCGTCACTGCTGATGGCACGATTTGGATATAATTGCTGATTTAAACTAAAATACGTTTATTTGAAGAAATGTCTAATTACAAAGTGTGTGCGCCCCCGTTGTAGACTGCGTGTTGTGTGCGCTTACTTTTCTGACAAAGGTGCCGCCTATTTTCATTATGCTGCTGCTATTCCTGACACCATCACCCATTGCCATTGAACGGTCTTCATGGCAGGATATGGCCCTGAGTTTATACACAGTAAGGATGTACTCGATGTCTCACTCAATGCACATGCGGATACATACAAATATACCATTGTTTCTGTTGGTCCACTGCTGGATGAAGGCTGTGTCAGTCATGAAGGTTCGTTGACCATACTTCACCACTCTGGTGAGTGTGGGTTAGTGGTGAAGGGGGGAGCCCAGGGCCGCCGGTGCATCACTCCCCACTCGTGTTGCCCGTGGCTAGGAATCGGCTTTGTAGAGCACTGCACCAACACTGCACCGCCACTCCACCTTGCTGTGCACACGGTCACACAAACACGCCACCAGCGCTCATCTTAAACAATATTTAATAACTAGCGGTGAAAGTTCCACAATTCTATGGCTGGGGCCAGTATATCCACACAGACTAATGTTCGCTTCCATCAAATAACCTTCTTTTCTGTACATTGTAGGGATGTTGGGTTTAGTCAGCCCCAAACCAGAATGCGTTCTCGCAACTTTGTGATTGCGAGTCGAGCATTCGAACCACTCTGTACATGTTCACGGTTACTCTCGCCGTGTGCTTGTGGGTGCATGCGTGCCAAGTACAGTTCAGAGCTACGCACAGCAATGTAATCCAGCTTGTTACCAGGCCTTTCATCCATTCGTCTATTACCGCAGTTTACAAGAGCGTGTACTTCATTGAGCTCTGGCTGACAGCATGTGTCCACTGCGCCTCCACTCGGTATTAATTGGAGCAAATCCAACGGTGCACGCACCATGAGGAGTGTGGCGCTGTTAAGCATGAACTCATGGGAAGGGCACAGAGGAAACGTTCTCCCTGTGTTCGCTGTGTAAGTCTGCTGGGAGTGGGAGGTAATGATACTGTTGCCTGACATTCCGAGGGAAAGGAAAGTCAAAGACGTCGTGTTGTCACGGCTCCGGGGTTCAGTGCTCGCTAAATGATCAAACGGGGAGAACATCTCGCCTGGGCGTTCACTTCAGCATCGTCCCAGCCGTGCATTCAGCTTCGAGTCGCGTGCCCAACACGGCCACTTTTAATATAAAGAGGAGCCACTGCCGATGCCGTTTGCTCTTCGTTACTAAAACCCACGCGTCGTCACGGCGAGACGGTAGGAACAATGTTCGAGTGACACAAGTCAACCCGTATCCATGCTCCAGTGAGCGTTGGGTGACACGAATCTCCACCACCTGCATTGAGCCAGTGGTGGAAATTCCACATTGCTTTGGTGGGGGCAGTCGTTTGCATAGGGCAAAGCGGTGTTCATTTTAATGGCTATTGAACTCGAACATTTTCAACAGGCGAGTTGATTGCTTTGTAGCCGCTGTGCCTCCTGGCTGTGTTGAGTTTTATCTCAGTCTGTCATACTCGATGCAGCAAAGTTTCACTGAGGCTTAAGGTAACATTTTCAGGAGGTCCTACTTCGTAATTTTTGGCCCAATTCCATGAACCGTGTTGAATATTTTTACACGTGAGAGGTGACTTGAATAGCAACATGATAAAGAACTTAAGCTCCGCGCGTGTTGGTGTGGCGCCTTCATGCTGTGCTGGAGCAAGCAGGTGTGGCCAACACACCACTCAGTCGCCTTTGCACCTTATACTTATTTTATGCTGAGTCGACCTATCGGAGGATCACGACAGGTTCGGATGCTGCTTGCCACTGATATTGTGCATCTTGGACAGGAATCGAACCTCATGTCGCTAGGAATTGTAGCGCGTCGGTGTGGTGTACCGAACCACCAGTCCATATACAGGGGAAACTAAATGTTCCGTAGAGCCTCTTAGACTGTTGAGGCAACTGCTGTTAGCGAGCACCTATTAGAGTCTGCACGACCCATAAGAAAGTGGTGTGGCTAGCGCCACACGTGGCCACCGTTGATTCCCCAATGCTGATGTTTACATCCTGCACCAAGCGAAGTAGTCATTTAAGGCCGAGTCGACCTAATCGAGGCCCAGGGCCGGTTAAAACATCGCTGTGCACTGATGTGAGACATGACCGTGAATCAAAGGCAGGTCACTGAATGTGAAGTGCTGTACAAAGCACATTGACAAAGATCCCCGTATAGCCTGGGACTGTTGGGCAAGTGCTGTTAGTGCACAAAGCACACACAAGACATTGACAAAGATCCCCGTATAGCCTGGGACTGTTGGGCAAGTGCTGTTAGTGCACAAAGCACACACAACACATTGACAAAGATCCCCGTCTCGCCTGGGACTGTTGGGGCAAGTGCTGTTAGCGAGCACCTATGAAGGCCGGTGCGGCACACCAGGGGTCGGGTGGCCAACTCCACGTCGGCCGCCTTTGTCTCCAATGTTTACACATCGCACCAGATACCCATTTGAGGCTGAGTTGACCTAGGGGAGATCTAGGACTGGTTCAGATAATGGACACCGGCGTTGGTCGCGAGTGGGAACTGAAC